TTACAGGCATATACACGTTTTGAGAGCATTTGAGCTAACGTCACATTCTGCTAAAAATATTTAAAAACAGCACACCTTTAGAAAATTTATTAGATGAACTTATTCTTCCAATTCATTTGTGTGATACAGAAAATAATCAAATTAGAGAACACTTTACTAGATTCCTTTACACGTACTCCCATACCACACATAAACAAGCAAACAAAGGGAGGGGGAGATTAAAAAACATGATTTTATTGTTTTTTAATCTCCCCCTCCCTTTGTTTGCTTTGATTGATTAAAAAACATGATGGATGGTGTTTCAAGTAATTTATATACTATATTCCAAACCGATGATATAAAACTTAATTTTCATACAATATAGAATTTGCAAGTCTGTCAAACTGGTCGATACTCATCTTGAAGTAATTAAAAAATAATTCAGGATATTCACTTCACAATCGAGGCAGTAAAGAAAAAAAAAACTCTTTGAATAAGTCGCTCTAAATAAATCTTTCAGACCCTTTTGCGTTTTTGCTTCTGCTTAATGATTGAACTAGTTTCAGCTATCAAAAGATCATCTGATTCCGATGTCTTGCCACAAACATACAGAAACACAGCGAAGTAACATGATGTACTTCCGTTCAACAACGCTATATTACAGCATCACGTGATTTTTTGCGCCAAATAATTCTATTGGTTAAACGCAATCTTCACAAACATGCTCGTTTGGACACTGTTTTGCTGGTAACGTAAATGCCCTTTTGTAAGATATGTTCTGAGTGTAGTCGTGTGGATGGGCCTTAACAGACAAATTCTTACCTATTTCACTCTTATCACACAACAAAGCTCACATGAAATACAAACTATTGTGCAGCAAAACAAAATGAAATGATACTTTTATAAACAAAAATACAGATCAAGTTATTAATAAGATGCAGATGCAAAAACCATAAAGATTTCAAAGGAAATTTTGGTTTAGCCAGCAAATCAAAACTGTTCAGTGCATGAATGAAGCAGCTATTAGCACATTTCAGGAGATTATCATCAGATTTAATACATTTTCAATGGTCATGCTCAAAATGATACATAAATATATACCCATTTAATGACAAATTCCTTTATTTTAACATCTGAAAAAGAATGAAACATTTCATTCAAAAAGCTCCAAGTAGCTCTCAAAACTTTCAGAACAGAAAAAGGCCCTACATCCCTTCACTTCTGCTATGTTCAGATTTTCTTTTAAAAAGTTTTCTTCCACACACCCTCTCCCTAAAAGGTAGGGCAGGATCACACTTATACAGATAGCAACAATAAAGCTTCAGACAAAACAAATTCGAAGTTTCCAAAACCATATAATTCCATTATACAACCTACAGTAAATTTTTATCTCTGTTAAGACAGCAGAAGATAAGAGAACAGATATTCTACCTCTTATTTTAATATTCTAAACGTTTTTAAAACACAGAAATCACATGAAAAACAGATATGAATAAGAAGTGAAAGACCAACTGTCACATGCGGATGAAAGCCAATTTAATACTCTGAATTCCAATATCACAAATGATAATTTGCCAACTAACTTAACAATTGAATTCCAATATCACAAATGAAAATTTGCCAACTAACTTAACAATGAAAATAATGTTTAACAAGTGCTATTCTAAAAGCAATTTAGTGTGTTTCAATACCTTTCCTGATGCTGATTTTGACTGCAAAACTAGAAGTTCTGCATCAGGTTCTACCATTTTGTAATGACTTCCTGCTGTAGCTACGGTTCTTTATCAACGGTGACTTTGGTTGTCTGTCTCATACAAGTGTCCATAATCAATTTGGCTTGACAGAAATTGCCCACAGATTATGAGGAAGTTAAGTCAAGGTATTGGCACTGATTAAAGAAAAAGAATTTCTTAGATTTAAAGTTTTGTAGTTGCCATCACAGATAGCAAAAGCTTGAACATTTATAACTTTAACTTTTCTTTGACGTCATAGAAGCCAAAGCAAGACTTAACATGCTTCACTATGTCGCTTCTTCCACCATGACTTATTATGAAGTCGCACACGTTGCAAAATGCATAGTTATTTCCTTTGAAGGATTCTTTAATTGTTGGAAATTCGGCTTTGTAGGCAGGCCGAAAATATTGAGAATACGGGTTTTTTTTAACTCATTTCGTAACGACGTATTAAGAAAATTCGTAGCACGTGCAAACAAAAAAAAAAAAAAAAAATTCAACAATCCACGCTCGCTGAGTAATTCCCTTGCTGCTGAAGCGAAACGCGAAAAAAAATAATCTGGCGCCCACAAAGAAAAGAGTGGGAGAAACAAGTTCAGCGCATTGGATTGGCTGGTTAAGCGGCGAGTTGGGAGAAACCGCAGGTTACTGGATTCGAAGTAGTCGGTAGTTGGCGGTAAAACACGATGCAATTGGCAAAAAAATCGCTGAATTGGCAAAAATTCTAAAATTTCGACAAAAATCACTAAAAACACTTGAAAAATAAAAAAATTCGTAAAAAATGGATTACGATCGTAAAATCATAAAGACAAACGCATTTTCGTAAAAATTACGAAAAATTCATAAAAGTTGGCAGGTATGACAATATATATATTTGCTATATATGAGAATGCTTGTAGTTGGTAAACTGGGTTTATTAATCAGCTATGAGGTTATCATTTTTGATCGCATTACCTAAATTACCAAGTACAAGTATTACCCAAGGAAGTGCACGGCATTCAGTAAGGGACAAATATATCTGGCATACTGAAACAGATCATTTGTCAAACCATACACATAATCTATATATATAAAAAAGAACGACTGTTTGTGTGTTTGCTCACAATTAACACAGTCCCTACTATAGCTATCATCACCAAACTTTCTACAATTCTTTTCTGGGTCCTGGGAAAGGTTGACGTCTACTTTTTTCCAAAAAAATAGCTAGATATCAGAGATATAAATTAAAAACTATGAAAACACTATTTTTCGCCCTCATTTTTCCAAGTAGCAACAGTCTTGCACGCTGGAGATACAAATCTGCTTTATTTCGAAAGGTGCCGCTACTGCTTTCAAATCATACAGTTTGTTAACAAAAATTTCTAAGTTTTAGAAAATATGAAATAAAAATAGCACTGACAAATATTAAATACATTATTCACAATTCCAAAAATTCACAGAAAGTCATTTCGACTGTTCCCATCTTCGTACGACTTTAATCAGCCGAGGTATTAAAAACTCTGGAAACACTAATTTTCATACTCATTTTTCCAAGTGGCAACTGGAAACATTAATTTTCATACTCTTTTTTCCAAGTGGCAGCTGTCTTGTGCATTGGAGACAAAAAATGTCACTATTGCTTGCTTTCAAATTGTAGATTTGTTAATAAAAAATTTTTAAGTTTTATTTAATCTCTCTCTCTCTCTCTCTCTATATATATATATATATAAAAGAAGGTCTGTTTGTGTGTTATTTGTTCGCATTATTGATTTCTGATCAATTACAATTAAGTTTTTGCCATATTTAATCGACTAAAATTGAATCTAGGTGAAATACTGGATCGAACTTGAGTTTTTACGACCACTAAAATTAGAAAGATGAAAATCATTCAAAATTGCATGCCATTGCCGCTGATATGAGAGAGAATTAGTTTATTTTTGTATCAAAATTTATGTTGGTTCCATATTGCATCAGACGGGAAAATGCATGACTATGAGTAGTATTTTTGGCATCGTTATTACAGAAGGATTTCAGCAGTATCGTTCTCTGTGTTGTTAGATATATTACTCTCATTCTAACGTAACTGGCACCAGGTGCTTCCACTAGTAATTAAATATTTAAAACTCAATACCCTTTCCCGAACGCCACCCATTTTTGGTTTAAATTATTTTAAGAAATGTTACATACAGACTGCTCAAATTCTACTTCAGTGACTCATTAAGGCTGATTGAAAATAACATATAGAATGTGCAGGAGTTGTGTGAAAGTGCATCTAGTTGTTAGTTATCTTTAGCTCACACAAAGAGCACAATATTATTTTGTATGCCAATTACAAGTATACTCGCATGAACTCGTACACTGCTAAAATGTCAAGAACTCGTACACTGCTAAAATGTCAATCTATTTAATAAAACAAAAGATGAAACGTGTTAAAAGAGGCATTTCTTTTATATTCACAAGTATTTATATTTATTAATTACAAATATCCCATTTCTTTTAGCTAAAAATATCTATGATTGTACCAATACAAAATTTATAAATAAATAAACATTATTCATTAAAAATGTCAATAACTCTTTAGGTTACGATTCAAAATCCTTCAATTGATTTATACATGTAGTTCGTACTAAATCCCAAGTGTCTGCTTTTATGATTTGGCAGCAAACCCAATACTAGTATGGGATATATCTGAAATCTTCCATATTTTCATCTCTGAAGGACAAAAAGTCATTGGAAGCTCAACTTTTTCCCTTTCACCAATCCTGACTGAATAGTTGACAGTGCTTAATTTAAATCACTTGGATGTGTGAATGAACTTACCAAAAACTATTCATCAGGATCTTCAAAGAATAATTTTATGTTTTCACATTCAAATTTAACCCTCTAAGCGGCAAGGCCGTATATATACGGCTTAGAATATTTATTGTGATATCTGTAAGAACGTATATATACGTGTATATTAAAATATGTCAACAAAATTAAGGCAATATATCAAAAGAAAACAAATCCAAGTATGAAATACCAGGAGAGATTTTACATTAAAATCAAAAAAATAATTTGTTCTCATACTAGTTTTGGGAAATTTGTGCTTTCTTAGCAAAACCAGAGGTTAATAAGAGAGCTTAATGTCCTTATTAACCTCAGAGGGTTAATAAGGACATTAAGAATATCCTCCCCTAATTTTTGAAATTATCATCAGAAGCAGCAAAATCATCTGCAAACAAACAATACAGTCTCTAATTGTGAAATTTTTTCCACCACTTGTGTCATTAACACACACAAAATACAATCGAAGATAATAATGGTGTATTCTCTAATAATAAAAAAAACTGATAACTTTATTGTGAAATTCATTAACTTTTTACAGCAATTTAATATGGTGTTCATCAAAAGGCATTTCATTCAAGTCATTTAAAACAGATTTTTCATCTTAGTTTGGATGAAGCACAAGTTAATTTTGAGAAATAATTGAATTTTACAATGTCAGTAACTGGAATGTTTTTCCCCCATCTCTCTTCAAATTCTTGAGGTTTCTCTTTTGAAAACTGTCACGCAAAAACACAGGTTCAGTTCTTTTAAATAGTTGAAGTTTCTTCTTAACATGTGGCACTTAAATTCCTAGAAATGAGCAGAGAATATACAGTATTTTGTTTTACACAGCAGCTGCTTTATAAATGCACATAACACACTAAAAACAAAGTTGCATGATAAGTAAAACCTAGACACCTGAATGAAAAAAAAAAATGAAACTGGTTATCTTACCAAAAAAAAATTTATAAAAAGAAATTCCACATAGCCAGTTCTCAAAAAGGATAAAGACAAAGTCTCTCCCCCCCCAAAAAAATGCATTATTACCAGATCTTGAAATGACACAAATTGATTTTTATTCAATATTCTGAATATAATGCAATTAAAAAGGAACTACTTTTTTTTTTTACCTTTATTAATTCTCACATAATCTTTTGAAAGAACATGGATCCTAACACATCAAAGATTTACTCACAGAAATTGGTTTCCTAACAAAGTTTTACTCATAGAAAATGGTTTTCCAAAATCATATTAATTTATTCATTTAAAGTTCTTATCTGCTTCTCAAAAATTAAAATATTTTACGATAAGCAGCTCATTTAAATGAAAACCAAAACACAGACAAAATCATGTGTTACAATTAAAAGGCTATTCATTACAAGTTCCTAAATTAAAAGGCCATAAAAATCATCAATACTTATCGTCTGTGTTTAAGATTTAATAAGCAAAATTTTCATCAAAAAAAATAAATAAGCCAATTATTTGACAGTATTCTTAAAAAAAAAAAGGTGAATAAAACAATAATTCCAAACATTTTATAAGGTTAATTTATTAAAGACAAATACAAACAGGTAAATACTGCCATACACAAATCTATTTTCAATTTTTATTTCAATCAGGCAATGCAAAGCAATGAATTAAAAATATAAATTTTAATTTAACAAACATTCTCTATTCGTAAAAAGCAAATTAAAAGTTAATGAAATTTAATTGCAAATAAATAAATGATTAGTTATTGCTGCAAACTAATCTTACTATTTATTCTTTTGAATTAAAATTACATATGGTTTCAGGCAATATGAAATAAATTTCTACAAAAAAATGCAGTACCATATTTCCGCACACACAAAATACATTTTAAACCATATGTAATATAAAAAACAATGCAATAAGATACTCACTATTGCAAAATGTTTTAAAAGCAAGTAAGAAGTACGACAATTTCAAACTTCTTTTCCAAATGACTGCATCCACTGATGATACTATGGTGAACATGTTGGTATTTCTTATGTTTACTAATAACCATATCTGAAAATATATGACAGAACAGATGATAATCAATAAATTATTTTTAAATGTATCAATTTTTAAAACTTTTATTGCTTCATACTTCACACACTTTAGCATTAAAATATGCTTTAAATAAAGCAGCAACTGTTTATTATAAAATGTCCTAATCAGGTTTCAAAGTACTTGAAAATAATTAAATTTCTAACAGAAGTATTGTTGATAAATATTTTTTTCAAAAATCTATTTCAATATGCTATTTTTAATTGGATGATTATTCATTATGACAAAACATTATTAAAGGCAATCTTCTTTAGCAAGATTTATTTTGTATACAGTTTTAACAGAAAAACTTGCTCATTTTACATTACACAAGGAGAGACTAAAACACTATTGCAGCCTGCCATTTCTAACCAGAGGGAAAAAACTGAGATAAACTGTAAATGTTTAGCTTGCTTTTCATTCAGCTATAGTTCGTTTTTATAATACCTGAATATTTTATTATTTACAATTTTAAATTTCCACAATGCAATTATAATCCTCAACCTTTAAATTATATGATATTCTTTATCACCTATTCAGGTGATCAAAGGAGCAACTTGATGTAAATCATGTGTCCTTCGACAGTCAAAACCTGAGCTCTACAATACAAATGAGTAGCGCTATCCAGCTCTCAACTTGAATATCAATAAATAAATAAAATATTAAATAAAGATATTTAAAATTTAAAGCCACAGGTCAAACTAGTAATAATAAAGATCACATAGTAACTGCAATCTCAATAGCATGAAAGAAAAGATGTAGTCCATAAACTAGAAAACTGCACAAAATCATTTTTAGAAAATTGTGATATTACTTTTGTTGGATACAAAATAAAGTTATCTATCCTTATTTTCCTCATTCCATCCCATTTTCTATTGCTTGGAAATATTTTAATGTACTGTAAAGTTGTTATCTTTTCATTCTAACCAGAAACTAGCAAACCTGGAATACATATATCAATCAACATTCTGAATGAGAAAGTATTCATTGGGTAACTTTATAGAAAAATATAAGCAGACTGTACTTACAATTTGATTTTAGACTTTTCTCCTGGAACTCACTTAATATTTTATTACTCATATGCTGCTACACAAGTACAATCTAAATATAGAACAAGATTTCAAATATGTACAGTCATACCTCACTTTATAAACTCCTGCTTTAGAAAACCTCTAAAGTCATCTTTTGAAGATTAAAAAAAAACTTTTTAACTAAAAACTCTCTGAATTTTCCCATGCACTGTCACAGTAACACCATCTCAGACACATAAATCAAACTAATACCTTATTTTACAAATGTAGCAAATTTTAGAAATAAAAAAAAAAAAGTTCATAAGGGTGAGGTATTTCTGTACACAGTTCGGCAAAATACTAAAATATAAATGAACAGAAATTTCTCGGATTTAAATTACAGGTTTAAAACCGCAAAGAAATCTTCCTTTAGTCGTATATTTGAATTTTTTAATTGTATATTTGAATTCATACTAATTATAATAGCACTCTCCAATCTTTTCAAATTTGCACAAATAAAACAAGAAATTTAAGAATCTTAAATTATTAAAAACAAAAATTATCAAATTTTATAATCATTATCCTCTTAAAATAAAATTCTTAAAAATAATAAGTTTTTTTCCATAAAAATTTGAATACAAATGGTGAGATAGATGTGCTTTAGTACGAGGGCTATCCAGAAAGTAGATTACGTTTTGGAATAAAAAAATAAACAAAGTATAGGAAACAAATTTTATTATATACAGATGAAAGCCACACTCAAATACTACTTTTCTACATAGTCACCATACAAATTAAGGCATTTATCGTAGCGATGTACGAGCTTGGAAATTCCTTCGTCGAAAAATTCGGCCGCCTGCGCCTTCAACCACTTCGTTACCTCTTCTTGCAGCTGTGCGTCGTCATCAAAACGCTGCATAGCCAGCCACTTCTTCATTGCTGGGAATAGGTGGAAGTCGCTCGGTGCCAGGTCGGGACTGTACGGCGGATGAGGAAACAACTCCCACTTAAAAGATTCAAGAACTTTACGAGTGACATTTGCCGTGTGGGGCCGGGCGTTGTCGTGAATCAACAAGATCTTAGAGCTCAACATTCCTCTGCGCTTGTTTTGAATTGCTCTTCTGAGTTTTTGGAGAGTTTGGCAATACCTTTGAGAGTTTATTGTAGTGCCTCTTTCCAGGAAGTCCACCAAAATTACACCTTTTCTGTCCCAAAAAACAGTCGCCATCATCTTCCTTGCCGACATTGTTTGCATGCATTTCTTGGGTTTTTGGGGAGAACTTGTGTGCCCCCACTGCATTGATTGCAATTTCGTTTCACAGTTCACATGTTTCACCCATGTTTCGTCACCAGTAACGATGCGATCGAGTAAAGAGTCACCATCCTTATGGTAAGCGTCCAAAAAGTTCAACGCTGCAGCCATTCGCTGATTTTTGTGGTCCTCTGTCAAGATTTTTGGAATCCATCTTGCACAAAACTTGTGGTAACCAAGCTTTTCGCTGATGATTTCGTGCAACAAACTTCGCGAAATTTGTGGAAAACTCAAAGAAAGTTCCGTTATTGTGAAATTTCGATTTTCACGGACTTTAGCATCGACTTTTTCGAGAAGTTCGGCGGTCACTATGCTGGGTCTCCCACTTCGATCTTCGTCGTGAACATTGGTTCGGCCATTTTGAAATCTTATGACCCACTGACGCACTCCACCTTCAGTGATAATGTTGTCCCCATACACTTCACGAAGCTGCCGATAGATTTCTATCGGTTTACAGTTTTTTGCAGTCAGAAACCTTATTACTGAGCGCACCTCGCAGCTCGCGGGATTTTCAATTAACGCAGACATTTCAAACCGTCACAGTATCTGAACGGAGCACAGCACGAACCTCTCACTAGCACGGCTAGATGCAGACTGAGCTGCGCAACGCTCTGACCCCAAGATGGCCGCGCTAGCCCCGCCCCTAGCGGACACAGACGGAAACGTAATCTACTTCCTGGATGGCCCTCGTATATCAAATCGTATATCAAATATATCAAAGCCCTTTTTCCCTATGAAGAGAGGCAGAAAAAGGAAAAGGAAATTTATTTAAGAATTGCTTAATATAATAATATACTGAGTAGTTATATAATTAAACTTTCCACTATAAACTGCATCCTACAGTGCAAACAGATGAACTTAATTGCACCGAAATTATTTGTATATGGGCTATACGTGAGATGCACTCACAGAATTTAAAAAAAAAAATTCAGTTTTAAAATGTCCACCAGAGGGCACCTTTTTTGGAAAAGCATGAAATTTAAGATAAACAACCAATACGAAATATTGAAAATACAGAAACAATATTCAGAACAAGAATTATGAATAATAAAATGCAAAACCAGGAAAAGCTGTTAGTTGTAGGAGAAAAATGTCGAGATTTGCATACTTGGGAAGAAGATGAAGTCGACGTTTCCGGCTGTACTGATCATGGTCTCTTTAATTGAACGTGCGTTATTGGTGAGGCTGTTTCAAAGAATATGTATTGTTAGGAAGGAATTCTCCGCAACAGGAGTGGCTCTGTCCGATTGCAGATGGAAACAGCTGCACATGCGCGAAATATCTGTCACCAAAGCTCGAACCCGGCGTTGCAGTTTAAAGGTCACATTCATCAAGAGTTCATAAAACAAATAACGTTTTAAATTTCTTTAAAGGACAAGAAAATATTTCTTGGCGCAAGTAAATTAATTTGAGCAAAAAAAAGTACGAAAATACGAGTTTAAATTATCACAAAAATTCAAAGAAGAAATGTTTCGTTAAAGAATGCTTCTTCTTAACGTGTTTCCCAATTTCCTGTAGACATCGCAGATGGGAAAATCTCGCCGTCAGGTACTGTCGCCAAACTCCTTGGTGAATGTTTTCCAGTGGCGTAATAGCAAACTGGTTTACATTATGTATATGAAACCTTTTCTTCTTTACATAGATGTTCTTTTGCTGTTTTCCGAAAAAAAGGGGAATGCTTCTGTTGCAATTCGTGAATGTCGTCGTAGAAAGAACCTACGGCATGGACCAATGTCTACTGAAAGTATGCGGGCCATGATTAAGAGATCTGAAGAGATGGGGAAATAAGGAGTTCAACCTGGAAGAGGCTGTAAACATGTCACACCGGTACTTGTTGATACTAAGACAGCTGTTGACGCACAATCACAGAGATCAGAGGTTTGGGGGCAGTAGCACACGTGCAGTTTCTTGACAGACAGCTTACAGCACCATTCGAAAAGTATTCAGAAACATAATGTACTACTTCCCATACAAGATCTGCCATACCCAGGAGCTACTTGATAGGGGCAAGCCACGTCTCTCATTTGCAGTCAGTTTTCTCTACAGATTGACTGTTGATCTGCCATGGCCTTGGAATATTCTGTGGAGCAATGAGGCTCATTTCTACCTCAACGGGACAGTCAACACACAGAATTGCCGCATTTGTGCTATGAAACATCTGCGGATCCACACTGAAATTCTCCTACAGTCTCTAAACGTCACTGTCTGGGGTGGATTCATGGCAACATTCATCCTTGGACCATTTTTCTTTGAGGAAATCGGTGAACGTGAGCCTGTCACATGATCCGTCAGTACCATGACATGCTGCAGACGATTGTTGTGCCGTAACTACAGCAAAGCTGGATCCTTACATTAAACATTTTCATGCAGAATGGTGCGTTCCACAAAACCATGGATCAGTGAAGGCATTGCTCCAATACTTCACAGAGAAACGTGTTATTAGTCGCTCCTTTCCTAATCCATGGCCACTACGTTCACCGAATCTATCTCCGTGCAAGACATTAAATGACTTGAAGAACTCCATAACACTTCACCTGCAAAGCCTCACAACTGATCAGTTACGATTTGCTATTGAACACGCTGCTTTCGACTTGAAATTTTGCAGGTGAACGAGGGTGGTCACACGGAGGACCTTTCCCTACATCATCCTGGGCACG